ATCGCTTTTTTAATTGAACTGGATTTGTGAGTGTTCTTTTGTCACGTGGTTTGGGAATTTCAGTTCCATTTTCGGGTTTTTGTATAATCGATTACTCATGAGCTGAAGTTATTGAATTATTTCTTTTATGATAAGATTTGAGCTAAGGTTGCTGTTAAATGAGTAGTAATTGTGCTTGCCATTGATGGACTCTAATTCACGTGCAGGAACCCGAATGATTGCATATTATCTTCACGAGCTTAGTTCCGAGAGCTGTTGATGATAACATGTCCTCAAAATTGGTGGTCGAATAATTGTATCTCTTTTTAGTTGCATTTGCCATCTACTGTCCGTCCATCTAACAAACTAGATTATAACACTATACGGCAATAAATAGTTCTATGGCCAACTGTATATATCTCTCATTGGTTTTAATGTTAATATCATTTAAGTCATTTGCCTCATATAATTTTTTTTTTTTTTAATGTTAACGTATTTACCGTTCCGGGTGGGTGTATGCAGTCAGGGGATGTGAGGACCAAGGAGAGTCCCTCTCATGTGCGGAGGTGTATGATCTGGATTCGGATGCCTGAGCGCTTATCGAGAGCCTTCGCTGGCTGCTTTGGGGCTACTTCGTGTGTGCGTTTGAGGGTTGGGTGTATGTGATGGTCGGGCGGTCAAGCTTCACTATTGGTAACTTGCTGTCAGTGGACATGTATTGCCCCGGGACCCGTGTATGGCTGCAGGTGAAGAAGAGGTTCGTTGGATGTGAACACAGCCAGCCGCCACTTATTTTTTCACCGTCATCTGCAATATGTTGTCGTACCCATCCGCATAATTTGATTAAAAGCCCACAACATATAGGATCAATGTAAGTCGTCTGTTTGGGTGTTATTTATTTTGTTTAATATTGGAGTTTCCTGGTGTTGTTTTTGTGAGTGTTATATTGATGATTTCTGTTAAATCCAGACTAAAGAAACTCGATAACCGTATGGAAAATATCAAAGGAGTATGTGCTTAGTAGACTTCCTATGAGAACAAAAGTGTGTGGTTTGAGGGGTTCAATTGTCTGATTTCTTGGATTATAGGGCCATTTGGAGACCTATTGTGATTTGACGGTGACAAGCGGTCTATCTGTCATGGGGACTAGCATAATGTTACATTTATTAACCACCAATCATTTATTTTTGCATACTTTTATTGCACTTTGTTGTACCATCCTCTGTTCGAAGAATCACTCAACATTGAGTTTTTATAAGCATAAGTTTCTTCTAGACTTAATTTCAGTTGAATAGATTTGCAATGAAATTTCAAAGATCGATAAGGAGTTCTTCGATTGAATGCAGTTTTTCCTTGTGTATTTGTTGCATTTTACATTAATATTTTATAAAGCTTCATATTGACACTTTCCTTTCTGTATAATATAGTGTGATATGTCTGATACAAGTGTCTGTAACTCTTTAGGTTTCTTCTGAAATTTGATGGAAATGACGAAGAGGTCAATCTTCTGCATACAATTAAAAGAGACAAGATATCTGCGTAAATATATATTATTATCTACTTCACATATTATATATGATAGCTGCGTACAATCAATTTTTATGGCTATATAAAGCACTGATGCATTTTTTTTCTGAATGTTTATGGGCCTTCTTCATAATCGTATGATGTGCTGCAAACCATTAAGGGTCCATCTTATTTCATGAGAATAGAGTTAAGAAAGTGTAATTTCTTTTGAAGTGAACTCCTGAAGAATAATTGGTTTCACATGCATGTATATTGTATACAACAACATTTTGTCTTCAGGTATATACATTTATATTTCACTTATGAGTTATTTTTCCTCATAAAATGAGTAAAAATTTATTTTATTTTATTTATCAAAATGTATGGGAAGGGCCAAGACTCGAGGAAAGCTCCATTTTTAGATATTATAATATTTTACCATAAACTTCAAGAAATTCACATATTCTTCATCTCCATCGACGGAATTTATTTATTTTCATTGCAATTGTTGAATCTCGAAAATAAGATGTTTTGACGACTGAGGGTTGTGAAATATTGCTAGATGAGTTGAAAGATTCAAAAATATATTTTTTGATAGTTAAAATTTACTTTAATTAAGAACAAAATCCTGCGCATATAAGATGAAGATGCA